TCTTATAAGATACACCCGAATATACTGGCTACGTCATGTGTATAATAGCCATGCATTAAACGTTTTCTCGGCCCTAGAACTGGACACTGGGGCCTACTGGGCCCCATCATCATTTCAAATTCGAACCAAGTGGAAATTCCTGACGACGACATCCACATATCGCTTTACGTAAATTTGAATTACGCCGTTAGTTTGCCTTCATGCTCAGTCTCAGTTGGTGTCAATACTTCGCCGAGGATAGAAGCTAATTCGTCGGTAGTGCAACTGAGGTCTACTGGAACCCAGTAGTGTGTAGTTTGTGATTGTTATACTCACAATTAACAAAACAGAAATGCTGTTCATCTTATAATGCTTATCCGACGTGACGATGGCAATTCATAAAATATTTGTTCCATCTGCGTTGTTGTGTGATGATTTTAACGTGGATTTGTAATAATTTTGTTAAAATTTGAAGAAAGATTATACGTAAAAAAAATGTTCGTTTACTTTTTTAAATAATACTGTTATGATTTTTTTAGTGTTTTGATACATTTTAGAAAGAAAAGAAAGTATATCACACTTTTGAATCATACATAATTTTCTGAAGTATTTGTAACAAAATAAATATTTCAGGTCCTTGAGACTCAGGGTGCAGTTTATGAAACAAAAAATATGTAAGCAGTTACAAGTTAATAAATTCTGGGACTGAAATAGCAAATATTCTTTAGCATTGTTGCTAATTTATACAATTTTCAGAGAGGTCAACAAAAACGTACCTGCGACACTCTTACAAGCGTATTTCGCTTGATTTTACAGAATTTACAGAAAATATTGCAGGAAGAAAGACTTAAATCAATGTGAACATAGCGAAAATCCGTAAATTCAATATTATTCAAATCTGGAAAACCAAGTCTTTAAATTTAGTTAATTGCAAGAATATTGTTTATTAATAAATGAATATATCAGTGAATGCTGTTGAATATCATTAAAATAAATAGATTCAATTTTGCTGAGCACGTTATTAGCCATGCATGCAACAAGAAGGTCAATTTTCCTTGTAAAGATGGTTTTATAAGACATTAGATAACATTAGACACAGTGTGCTGTCTTTCAAGAAGAATGATGAAGAAATATTTGCACACAATAACAGAAATATTACAAGTACACATAATTTGCAATATAATTTGTATTTTACGTTACATTGTCAAATAACATGAGGAATTCCGTGACTTTTGAAACATTCTAGTGTTGAACTTGGCGTTTGGTTTTCTTAAAATCTAAGGAATGTCTACGACACGACAGAAAATATTTTCTAAAGGCATTTCGAAGCCCGTTTCGCCAAATTTGTGTTTATAGTCTAGCTTCTGTAACGTGGCAACTTGAAAATCGATTTTTTTTAATTCTTAGTATTCTGTCGCAGTACGAAAAAAACAAACACAAGTGTAGAAAAATCACAGCAAATAGATAATCATCGCAAATTTCGAGCCAATTAATGCAATGAATGTAGCACTTGTTACGAAAATGGCAGTTCCCTATTAAGCAATTGATTTCAGATCAAATAATCTCGATATATAACTAACGTGTCCTAAGGAATTGATTATTAAGAATTGATGGTAATAAATCGATTTAGACCTTTAGATTTATTTAAAATTATTCACTCGAATTCTCTAAATGCTGTATCCTAATTAGAGTACAAATTTTAGAATGGAACGTGCGTAAATACATTATATTGCAACCAAACTTTCTCGCAGACCAAAAAGCAGGGAAAAGGTGTTTGGCTGAGTTGTGATCTTAATTCATCAGTTGTTGTAACCAGAAGAAAGCGAAGTAATAGGGGAAATAGCGAAGCGAGTATAATAATTGGAGCGATACGTAAAGCAATGCCCACTTTATCAGCACTGAGGCAGCACTATCGTGGCGCTCCTTGCCCCTCGATCGAGCAGCGTAGATTGCCACTGGTGCGAATAAGTATTCGCATGTGCATATTATTTTTAGAACGAATTAGCAGTGCCTCATGGCTTCGCGAACAGGAGGAGCCGTCAATATGGAACAACAAAGACATCGAACTTCACAAATAGATGCAACTAGTGTTTTCGGTTAATATTTACAGTTCTTTTTGTTTCATATTTGGTTATAAACGAATCTGGAATGATAAAAAGTCCGGCAGTTGCGCCTTTCGTCCGATCTGAAAACAAGCCCCTTACGACCACGACTGCGGGCACCAATCTACAAATCTTTACGAACGGAAGTTTTTCAATTATTTCGGTTATAACGGCATACTTTTCTTATAATTACATTTCTATTACAAATCTATTAGATTATTTCTATTAGATAAATGTCTAATACGACACGTGCCAATAATCAAAATATTATTTTACGAATTTGCTGCACAAAAAATTTATTATATGTTATATTAATGGTATTTTGCTAATGAACTAGTATTAAAATATTCAACTTTTGTTGTATTTATTCACAGCCGGCAAGCATTGAATAATTGTGCTAGAAAATTAATTAGTAGAGGAGATGGTCATAATATGAACCTCTATTTCAATTCGACTGAAAAAATAAATTGAATGTTTTTTAAAACAAATATGTCAATTTAAATTTCGTCATTTGTGCAAACTATATAAAAATATGAACTTTTCTAACTGCTCAGAAAATGGGTAAAAATCAATTATTTAAAAGATGTCATATTTGAAAAAATAAGTTATATGGTGGTATTATAAGCCCCCTTAAAATATTAATCAATAAATGGATTTATAGAAACTAATTACATATTTGCTTTTGTAAATGCTATTTTATTACAAAACTTGGAAAATAAAAAAATCATTTACAAAAATCACAAATATAAAGGTCTTTTTCGGTCCCAGCAGTCATTGTGGGCCCACATTTCGCACAATTTCCTGGACCCGCAATTCTCCCGACAGTGGTCGGCTGAAAATAGTCCACCACAAAACAAACATGGCGTTTGGTCATCACAGGGACTTTTAACCCCTACGAATGACTCCAAAATAGAGACTCCAGAATTGATAAAGTAGTCTGATTCTTTTGATTTCTTTTCTTCAAACAGTTTCCGTTTGAAAAGTTGCATGTTTTTGTCACGTGAAGTTTTTATTTTTGATGTTGAAACTTTTGTGACATCTAAAACAAAAATAATGCGAACGCTCGTTGAATCATATGTAATATGAACCCCTTAATGCTTGGGGCTCATGAACCCAACATGGTCCGTGATTCATATTACAATCATCGCTATATTAAAATTCTGCCAACCAAAACTATTCCTCGTTACGTTCAAAATTACAAATTGCGTTCATAAAAACACTGTCTAAAGTAGATTGTATTTCATTCGTTATGAATTAGAATCGGTCTAAGCGAACTTCAAATACAATTAAAAGCCAAAGACTTATCTTCCAAAGTTTTCAGAACCGAAAAAGTACGAACACTTTTCTTACACAACAGCTGTCTTTTACAACTGAACCACTGTGCTATAAAGGCAAAAGGAGTTCCAAACTAGTAGTTAAAATCGTTTCTCCTAGAGTGTTTGCGATACATGACTCATGTTACCATTATCTCTATCACCTTTACCTCTATTAGTAGTAAAAACAAGAACGTTGAGCATTTCCAATTCGTCACAGTTTGTTGTTAGTTATAATAAATATTGAACATAGATTGTGTGAATACGAAAAGGAAGAAAAATTGCGTGTTTTGTACTTTCGTAAATTTTTACTTTCTCGTTTATATACGTGTATGTGAAATAATATACGTAGTACTGAGGAATTTAGGTAATATTGCGAAAAATAGATTTCGATATTTCAAAGGAAATTTAAGTTCTGGGGAACCCTAATATCTAAAAAGTGTTTTCATCATCATCATCATCATCATCATCATCTTCTTCTTTTTCTTCTTCTTCTTCTTCAAAACGTCCGTCCGTCCCTCCGTCCGTTAGTCCTTCCCTCTGCCTGTCACTACCGTTCGTCGCCGTCTGTCCCCCACCCATCCCTTCATTCCTCTGTCTTTCTGTCTATCCATCTGTCTGTGAACAATACTAGTTCCTAAACTGTTCGTTGGATTTACTCCAAAAAGAACACTGCCCGGGCGATCTCTGTCGGCTCAAACCCTGCGAATTGGGAAAAAATCTTAAAATTTTCTGGCCACATTACATGAAATCCATGGGACATTAAACTCCCAGGTCATGCAAAAGACTGAGAAGTGCAAAAGTTCTTTATTGGGAACAGCTCTCATTTTGCGCAAAGTAATATAATACAAATACTACTACTAGTAATAATAGTAGTAGTAATAACAACAACAATAATAATAATAATAATAATAATAATAATAATAATAATAATAATAATAATAATAATAATAATGCACATCCCGTGGCGCATGCGGTTGCAGCAGCTGTCATCTCCGCCAAGGAGGGGGACAGCTTCAAGTCCTTCGTGGGCATGGCCGTCCTTTCACCCCTCATCATCCTATCTCCTATCGCCCCATAATTCAGGGCTTAACAACATTGTCGTACTAAGGGATACAGCCGAGAAGCTGATTTCCATAATGACTCACGTTAATCTCTCCGGTATAAAATATGACTGGGCCTCGAAAGATAACGTAAATTGTGATCCTACAAGTAAATGGCCAAAAGTAGTAATAGTAATGATAATAATGAATTTGAAGAATTCCTTCATAGAACAACGCACATGTTTCGCGGATTCCTCAACTGACTCATTATCTGAGAAAGAAGGCTGCTCTGTTTCAGCAGAGTCATTTGTTTATAAATAAACTTAATAGTAGCATTTTCTATGCAAATTATCCCCCAATAAGACATTTGAAGAGCATCGGTCATTCTGGCATTTGCTACATGGCCAACCCGGTCCTGGTTGTATGTGTACCAGAGTTAAAGCAGTTCAATATTCGCGGTATTACCCACGAAAGACAAGGAAAAGTGTTTGTTAACAGATGCGAACCGTTTAACCACGAAATACCAACATCTTCAGTATGACCAACACGCAAACATTTATGACAAGCAGTCTCCAGCAGTGTGTGGGTAGTGTGGGTTTGTTGGTTTGCAGTTGCACGTGTTATTGGAAGTTGAGGTTATGTGTAAATTGGAATTAATGTGGAGAAGATAACAGAATGAAAGCTTCTAACATATGTTAAGAGCTTGGTCGTTGTGATGATTCAGAGTTACTATAATTGGAGGTTTTGTGTGTAATTTCTAAATAAGTGTTGTTTGTGAAATAATACTTATTAAATCTGCAATCTTGAATTTGTACGTCAGTTCATTTTCTTTCAAAATGGCTAAGGGTAATTTTGTAGATCAAGAATTCGAAAAAGAATTCCCTTTAGATGATGATCAAGCAATAAGGGAAGAAGATCATGGAAAGTTACTACAATCAATTGAGATGATGGATAGTCAACTAAGGTTTGTTTAGCTAACTATTAATAATTCTTTACTCCTGTTTTTGTATTAAAGAGAGACATTTTAGTACGTCTCACATAATACTGGAACTTTATTTCAGAATTAAACCTCCTACACGAACAGAGCCAAGTTTCAATGTATCAGAGTTTGACCTAGCTCCAATTAAAGGAGGGGGTGTACATTTAAAAGAGCTTGCACATGCTCTTGAAGTAAAAGGAAAAGCCTTTGACTCCGAAGTTGCTACAAAAATTCGGACACTTACAAAAACCAGTGCCACTCTACAGAAGCCTTTAGAAAAAAACCAACAAAAAAAGGTATTTATATATTAAAGTAGATAGTCATGTAGACATATATTTTCAGAAAGAGTTGTATCACTTATGTGATCTGTTTTTCAAAGAGATAAATTATTGGGACCAAACATTTTATGACTTCTTCGAGTTGTTTAGTGTAGTGTATAGGAATTTTTAATTTCTCTGACTCTGTAAATTGCCTGCATTTTGTCAACAGCTACCACAAATTCAGTTTTATGGATGCAAGGGGAAAATTAAATAGTTTCAAGTAGATTATTTGTCAAACTTTTTAAAAATATGTCATCATATGGTGAACTTTTCTAAGTGTCCATGTTTGAAATCCCATATCATGCATTTAACCTTCAAGCACTCTCACTGTTGTAAAAAGTACAATAGTGGAACACTTCATAGTTACATGAATTGTTGTGCTTCAGTGAATTCCTTCTGGGTATTCGTTTATTAACACTTCATTGTTGTAGCAGAAACAGAGATTACCTTAACGTTTGTTGCATTGTGTGAGAAATGTAAGAGTAAAGGTGTGTATGTTGTACATTTAACAACACGCAAGTTCTGGTGTTAATTTTTCCAACAGGTCCTGTAAGTATGAAAAAGTAACGAAAAAGTGGATAAATAGAGTTGCTTAATTTAGAAAAAATATCCTTTTATGTGGTGTAGCCAGAATCCATGTTGTGTGGATCCTTGGTACCGAAAAATCGAATGACATCAAAACATCTTGCCTGTGAACAACGCTAGCAGCTATACCATTCAGCTGATTTTCTCCAAAATTGATATACCCCAATTGATCTGAATGATGCCACAGCCTTGTGAATTTGAAACCAATATTTTAATTTTGGTGTATTTTACATGTAACTGCTAGGACATTTTCAAAAGTTTCAAAAAATAGCTCCATTGTAATCCACATTTAACTGCTTGGTCATTTTCAAAACTTTCAAAAAATAGCTCAATTGTTTGTGAAAATTTGTTCAAAAAATAGCTCCACATTTTCTTGTTGGATAGTGTGAAGGATGTTTAAGATAATATTGCAGGTTTATTTATCTTTTTAAAGCCTTGATTTTTCAAAAATTGCAAACATTGAAAGTTTTTTCGGGTTCTTCCTATTAGTACAATAATTACGAAGATAGACATTTTTTCCCTATATGAAGTCTGTTCCTCAAAGATAGATTTTGAAATAAGGAAATATTTTCATTGTTCATGTTCTCTCCTTGTTATTCAAAGTTATGGACACGCAAATAAATGTTATTAGAATGAAAAAATTATTATTCAAAATAGAAATGCCAAATATTATGGGTTTAAAAAATAGAACATGCAAGTCATCATATCTCAAAACTAGGCATGAGTGCTTGAAGGTTAATAATAAATCAGAAAAAATAATTGTAATGATCAGTGTGGAAAAAATATTATTTTAAATATTATATTTTTGTTAATGAAGTACAACCAGTCATATTTATTGGTGATTTGCAGATCAAACGTGTTGTTGCTTACAACAATTTGACCCAACAAGTGTCTCGCTGGGATGCTGCTGTACAGACAAACAGAGCAGCTCGCACCGTCACATTCCCTATGAATATCGAACCAGTTACTGTAAAAAATGCCTCTGAAGTTGCAGAGTTGTGGCAGGTATGTGGACTATTAATTCTTTAAAATGAAGTTTTATTGAATCACTTTTTGAAAGTTTTTCAGTTCATCAATTTTTAATCTGTTTTTTTCAGTCACAGTCTCAGAATGACTTTGAAGCAGGACTCAATGCATTGCATGGAATGAGTAAAGTTTATCAAGAGGATACAAAGGTGATGTAATGGTCTCCTCCCAGCAATGAGGGAGGATGTATATAAACTATTCAATGTAATAAACCTCCATCATAACCTGTCCTAGAATAAAACATATAGATGATAGTTGTACATGAGATCATCTTTTTTCTCATTGGTTTTGGCTATTTTGGGACCATGGAAAATAATTTAATATACTTTTTTTTAGTTCTATCTTTTTTGTCAATATTTTTTTCCCCATTTACAATTCTTTTTTCATCTGAAAAAAAATTTCGTACATCATTGTTGCTATTTTTTTTATATTAAATTAAATATATATATAACTATCTTGGACCTCTGTTTAGTTTATCTATTCTAGGCTTTTGTTATTCTAAACATAATCTAATCTCAAAAACTTTCTCATAGTTCATCACTGAATTGGGTTTATATTTTTTGCTCAATTAGAAAATAATATAGAAATGTTATTGTCAAGAAAAATTTAACGAATGAAATTTTTCCAAGGGAATTTACTGTATGTTTTTCTATTTTGACAGGTGGAACAGAAGTTCAGGATGACTTTGGCTGAGCTGCGAATGAAACGTCGAGAGATAGCCAAGTTGCGTGCTCAGCAGTCGTTTGAGGCAGCCAAGGCTCGCAGGCAGAACAAAATCAAGAGCAAAAGGTATTGTAGAAATGTCAGGACAACATGTCAGCTAAATATTTACTAGGCTGTCCGGGTGACGCCGTGTCCATGGCGAAGGTGCTGACGTTTCGGTCGCCATTCTGTGACCTTCCTCAGGGCGTAATGCCCACGCAGTGTGGAAAACTCACGAGTGAGTTTGAATATTTCCTCCCCGTAGAGGTTGGTCAAGTGAGAGCGTAGGCTTCCGTTGCCGGAGTCAGTATTTACTAGGCTGTCCGGGCGACCCCGCGTCCATGGCGAAGGTGCTGACATTTCGGTCGCCATTCTGCGACCTTCCTCAGGGCGTAATGCATTAGGGTTAGGTAAATTCCTTCATTTACCACATGATGTTGCTGAAGCTAAGTATGACCGATTAGTGGCTGACATTTATTTTCATTCATACCTCCCTCCCCCATCCCTCCAGCACTGGAGTTGAGTCTCCTTCTCATGGACATAATGATCTGTCACTTTTCACATAATGAGTGGATGATTGAGTTTTTCAAATATTTTTTTCCACTTGTATCATATTTTTGGACTATTTCCTCTAGCTAATAATAATGTACTTCTCAAATGAAGTCTAATGAGCTGGTTTATTTTCTGGTATTTAAGTTACTTTGCATAACGCACTCTCCTCTTTGTTGATGTCAGAATCCACACATTCGGTATATGATTTTCTACCATTACCTTAGGATTGAAGAAAGGAAGCCAAATGAAAGGAAAAAATTAACATTTAATAAATTCATAAATAACTAATACAACATCACAACATCAACATGTCTCATGTGTGCATTTACCTCCTAACAAATTACTAATATACTTTTATGTGAATCCAATAGATAATTATATGATACATGAATATTAGGATAAATCCTGCGATGAATCATGCTTCATACTCTAATGTAAATACTTACATCCATTTTTTCAAATTTTTTGACTTGTAGGTTTTTATAAAGATTAAGCAAACATACACTTCTGAAGAAGATTCCAAGAATATTAGACTTTTGAAAAATTGGTTTGAAATATTTTAAGTACATGTGTCTTAATTGTTGTTTTTATTTATTGTTCGATTTGCCTGGATGCTTGATTCAACATTAACTTTTAGAGATAATTACATACAACAAATACTTTATACTTAATATATATTTACCTTGTTTAATAGACCACCTTTATAGTTTTGTGAAAATTAGAGGAAAAGAAAAGCTGATCACTTAGCTTGGTTCCCTCATAAAGAATTGCAGTCAGTTGGTCAACAATGTTGATGGAAAATGAAGTTTTTCCATGGGAGTCAAGTTGAATTGAAAAGCCACGTGTCATTTGTAAGAAGAATAAAAATGTGGAAGGAGAAAATATCACTGACCTTAATGCATAAAGTCATATTGTTCACAAAGACCACTTTTGCATGAAAAAGGTTGCTTTTAAACATGTCTACTTGTTAATTAATTTGTTAATTAAAATGTGAAAGTACATCAATTTCTGGTAATCTAAGACCATCTACATTGGTTGTAACTCATCATTTTTTGATCAAAATTAAAAAGAAAGAGGATGGAAAATCTTAAGAAAACTATGGACATATGACTAGGAAAAATTAATGAAAATTGTGAAAATATATCTAAAAGTGAAAAAAAAAAATTGATTCAGATTATAAATTGTGCAAAAAAGCATATTTCCCATTTTGTTTTCAACTTAAACGTAAGTAAAACACTGACTTTGGTTCTGACTGTTAGAAAATTTTATTGAAATTTTCTCAGAAATAGAAAAAATTCCATAAGTGCCATTGAATTTCTAAGTTTTATGACAGTCATATAGAGTCTGAAACAAAATCTGCGCAGTTCTGGGACGTTCGGTGGAAATGATTATCATAGACAGTGTAATCGCATTCAGCTGACAGTTGTAGTAAGAAGTTTAAATGTTACATTTTAAACCTCATATGGCTCACAGGACAGGGAACTTGTTAAAGAAAAATTAAACACAATTAATTGCCTTGTATATTATTATTATTATTATTATTATTATTATTATTATTATTATTATTATTATTATTATCATCATTAAATATTTGTAAGAAAATAAATATTCACACCATGTTTTGTTTTTTAGCATGTGTCAATTCCTAACATATTGATATACATGTGAGAAGGTATAATTAAAAGTACTATTTTCAAAAAAATACTCACTCATTCCAAACTTCAAATATAATTGAAAAGTAATTAAATTTAAAATTCCTTCTAGAAAAATTACAACTTGCATGAAAGTAACACCCTGCGATTTCGTGTTCCACTAAACAAAGATGGAGCTAGTTGAAGAATATTAGGTCACAATACTTCCACCATGATCACATCTTCAGCTAAGTCACTCTTTATTGCAATCTAAAAGATGCCCACTGAGATATAGGGAAAGCAAATGGTTAAAAATGGAAAATACTTAAAAATTTATGTTTGCTTTGAAGCGTGTCAATAAACTGCTGGCTTTGAGAACTGTTCTTGATATAATCAATACATTTTTACTTTCTTGTTTACTACTTACCTAGAATAGAGAAAGTATTGTAATGCTACAATATAAAATGGCAATTTTTCAACTAAAAAACGTGTTTCATGGGTCCCTGATGTCAAAACAGTGGATTTCTGCAAAATAGTTCATCATAGGTAGTGTTTTTACCAAAATTGATATTCCCTGATCGATTTGGCAGATATCAAGGCCCCTTAAATGTGAATATAAAGGTTACTTTACATAAAGCCTCAACATTTTCAAAATGTTCTCAAAAATGCTGCAATTTTTTTGTTTATATCATTTTTGTGAGCTATAACAAAAAAAATCGCTCATTTAATTGAAATTTCTGAAATTTAGTAATTGGAAAAATTAAAAAAATATTGGTAATCTACGATATTTCATAATTGCATGTGAAATAAAGACAATAAAAAAACAAGATTTTTGTCAAAAATAGCTCCCAATTTATTCTTTAAACTTTTTGTAAGGATAATTATAAATGTACTGATATCATTACATAAATGTGATTTTTATATATTCTTTTGAATTTTCAAAAATTACACTAATGTTTTTTTGATTTTTTTCCCATATGGTTAATATTTATGTTATAGGCATTTTGTATACCTTTTCACATTTGTGAGTACAAGTGCTTTAAATGATTTCTTTTTAAGTTTCTCAAAAAGTTTTAAAGACCAAGTTTACACATTTTCAGAAAGGCTCAAACTACATTTTCTTGAAAACTGCTCCAAATTTTTCAATGAAAATGACCAGTATGGCCCCCTCTGTGACCTTTCCGTTCCACAGCAACACAAATTTCTTGCCTCTATTTCCTCTCCACGTCAATATTTTGGAATTGGGACCCTCCACCTCTCAGCAATTGGAGGTGGCCCATAGGCCGTCCTCCGTCAGTCTTATTTTTTCACCACAGAGTAGAGAGAAAGTGTGCGTGAAAAAACAGTGAATGTTTGGCAGAATTTGGGTGTCGTGGCCCCATGAATTTGAAATTGATATTTTAATTTGAGGGGAGGGGGACTTTACATGAAACTTCTGGAACATTTTCCAATATTTCAAAAAAAATTTTTTCATGATTAAATTTTGTTGTTAGATAGTGTAAAGGACAATTAATAAAATGGTGCAGGTTCCATGTTGGAAACCCTGATTTTCCAAAAATTACAAAAATTCAAAGTATTTTCTGTGTCTTCCTACAACATTTCCAATGAGTTTTTATTAATACAGCTTTAAGATTTTTACCATATTTCTCTGATTTTACTGAATTATTGCAATTATTTTTATGAATTTACTGATTATCAGGTTTATTTGTACCACCACAGAAATGGAAAAGCAAGATAATAGTGATATTTCAAACTGCTTCTGAGTAGATCTATAAGAATTACATAGATAATTCTTGTAAATCTTTCAGTAGCCCAACTCCTCCCAAGGGCACATGCTCATTACTTTTATTTCCTTTCTTTCAGATTTGGCCTAATATTTACATTTTTTGGGTCCTCTGTAAACATCAGTGATTTTTCTTTTCCTTCACCAGAAAGTATCTTCTCTTAATAAGAACCTTTCCCTTTCTCTCATCGATTGTCTGCTCACATTCTCAATGTACACTGCAGTTTTAAGGCATAATACGTTCAATTAACCTTTCTAGTTACCATCGCATGTTGCGCCGAGAGAAAATGCAAAAGCAGCTGAAAGAGTTTGAGGCCCTCCAAAAGACAGATCCGGAAGCTGCGCTGAAGCGTCTGGAAGAGTTGGAGAGAGTACGTGCTGAGGAGCGCATGACCTTGCGTCACAAGAACACGGGCCACTGGGCTCGCAGCCGTCTCATCCGGGCAAAGTATGATCCCCAGGTATGCGCTTCACTGTAGATGAGTTTTAACTTCTTTCTCTTACATTGTTTTTTTGTGTAATAGAAATCAGGTTTGTTGTTGAATAATGAAAAGAACTCTCTGATCCATGTTTCAATTTAATATTTGATAGACATTGTTTTTTTGGTTTGTTTGCAACCCTCTTCAGTGTTGTAAAGAAGTCTCAATGTTATGATACATATTACAATTTTCAAAATGTGTAATGAATTACTACTGTGATAGGCAAGATGCTTTGAAATATATTTGAGAATTTCCTAAGAATGAGTGATATTTTCTAAGACTATTTCACAAATGAAATCATCTAATTAATTAAAATTAATATTGTATATTTAATTTATCACAACATTTCAATAAATAATACTTATTAATTGTAATACTGAGAACAAACTGGTGACCATGGAATAACAATAATCACTACATATGTGACCCAAAATTATTATTTATTTCAAATTAATTTACTTAAACACACAGGTTTTTAAACTCACATTTTTGAGAACCATAACACTATAAAGCTTTATTAACTTCAGAATTTGTTACTGTTGAATTTAATTTTAATAGAAAACAATGGCTAAATATATTCATTACATCCTAATGATTTTTCTGTTAATATGGTTCCTTGAAAATATAGGTTGAGAGGAAGCATTAGCATATCCAGAAATTTTTACAACTTCTTGCTCTTGTAACTCATCATGAATCGTTTGCATTACAGCTGTGATTCATTTCATTCGTCTAATATTTTAAGCATCAAAAATGGGCTCTTATTAGGTTAAAATAGGAATTAATTAATTAGATTAAAAATGTTAAACGGCCCTTTTTGTTACACAAAACTTGGAAGCATGGAGATGTATAGTGTACATAACATTTTCATTCATATTTGAATTCACTCAAAACTTGGGAGACATTTGGAAGCATAGCTTAAAAATATATCCTGAGATATTAGAGGTGCTGTTCAGTGTTCTGGCATTTTCTACTTCCTACAGTACTACAGTATTGCTGAAGTATAACAAAATTAGTGTTTGCTTTCTAGTTGGAGCACTGTTAAAAAAAAATATATCTTGGCTCGGCAATGGTAATAGTCAAATTAGCTTCTCCAATCTCAGGTAAGAGCCCTGCCATTGCTTTTAATTTTTGGCAATGATAATGGCATGGATTTGGCAGCAATTTGCAGCATGAATTTGCCTTCTCCCAATAAAATTGACTCGGAGGCTCTGATAAGACAGGAAGATATAAAATGGTAGAATGTTTGATTGAATTTTGTGGCATCTCAAATCGAGGTTAGTGTAAATGCCCAATTTGAGAGTATTTCTTGGAAGCAAATCTAGTCAAGGAAGCTATGTGTAATTTAAAGACAATCACTAGCAAGAAGAAGCTGTGAAACTCCTTGCGATGATTTACCAATCACATAAATATCGGAATTGTTTCTCAGTTGATTCAACTATGAAATAAGCTTGTAAGTAGCCAAAATAGTTTTTTTAAGACAGTCATTATTAAAACTAGCTCTTTCAGGGCATGCTTAGCATTCAAATGATCATCTTGTAATACAAGAAAGTTGTGCATCTCCTCCTTTCACTGTGACAGACAGGTCATTGTGAGAAAGCCCAGTAGTACATCTTCTTCAGTGGCTTCAAATTGTTCAAGTCATCTCGATGTTAATGAGTCGCCTTTTCAACTGATGTGCTTCAGAAAAGTTGGCTGTTAAAGAAAGTTGATGTTTCATCTTCAAATATCCTGTGGAAGTTTAGCTGTCCCCAAGTATAGTGATTGTGTACACATTGTAGTATTGTTTTGTATGGAGCACACATTAGTGTTATTGTATATTCATACACTGCTCTTTTCTAAAGTACCATAACTCTGTCAATATTCCCATTACATGTCTGTCCCCCCCTCTCCCCATATTGCTATACCATATTGTATATCACACCTCCAGTAGAAAAGTGACACACGTGCGAAATCGCGTGAGATTTTTCAGCTAAAAACTGATAAGATGTTACCAAGAGGTACTGCTACTATTCTGAAGTTGATTTTGAATTAGTTCTATTACTGTCCGCTAGAAGGTGAATATTTGGTACAGTCTATAACGAGTATTATAGAACTACAAAACTTAAAATTGCAATTTCTGAGAAATCAGAAATTTGCACTTGTGTCACTTTTCTATTGAAGTGTGTGAATGAATGATTCCATAATAATTGACATATGCATCTCCATTGTCATGTATCTTTTAAGATTACTCAAAATGAATATGTCTACCGTAGGTTAAGTTCTCTTCAATATAGATTCCTAGAAACTTGTGACAAACAGTTTGGTTGATACTCTTGTTATTTATTTTGACATTGATTTTGTTGCCTGTGTTTTCATGGTCGAAAATGTATCATTTGAGTTTTGTTTGCATTTAAATTTATGTTGTTATTTCTCAAGTATTTATATAGTTGTTGCAATGCCTCTGCCCTATTATTCTCCAAAATTCTTAGATTTTTTTGCCACATACTATAGTTGTATTATCTGCATGTGTTATTGGTTCATATTTTAGTGTCATATTAGCTGCTGCCTTGGAAAGTCCTCACTATTCATCTTCCAAATTGAAACCAAGCTATTTTGCAGACACCACTTGCAAGAACCTGTTATCTTCATTATGTGTGCCTGTGGAGGATGCAATTATTTGTGAATGATTTGAACACTAACATTTACCAAAACGATGACTCTGTGAATATTATCAGAAATCCTGTATGCAATGATTTTACTTAGATACCGAGTTTTCAGTAATTTTGTGTATCTTGTGGGATTAATATGATCTTCTGTACTTGGTATTTTGGGACTACTGATATTTATGTTTTATATAAAACATTTCTAGTGGGTGATTGCCTAATAAATAAATAAATAAATATATACATCATCATCATCATCATCATCATCAGTGTTGTGTACTTAAAGATGAAAGGCTTGAGGTGTATTCTGAGTAGCCCCTAAGTAATCATTTAGGTTTGTCCACAACACTCCAGATTTATGAATATCTAATTTTCAGGGCACAATATTGCTTGCAAGGTTTCACCTTCCTGTATGTTGAAGCAAGATGAAATTTGCCTTTGTCTATTTTTCCTGAAAAGTGACATCTTTGTTGTTGGGGGAACTCAGACATTGTGCTTGACAATTCTCATCATCTTCGTAATGAAGAATTCTCGTTCATAATTAGGGAAGAGAAGTGTGCCATGACAAGTTCAATATTGTTTTTTATGTTAAATAATAAAAACCTAGTTTTTGATAGTTTTCTTAAATGAGGCAATTCCAGCAGTTTTTTTATTCTCATAATGTTGATAGTAAGAGCAAAAACAGAAGCAAAAATATCAAGTGTAGTGTTACAGTTTTCCTCTTTTAAATCAGATGTTAATAACTGTTGTAGATTTAAGAATTTTCTTACTCAGTTTTCCCATGAGACTGCTTTAAGGGTTTAGTAGTGGCCCTGAAACAAAATATTAATTATCCAGGTATTTGTGCATGATGTA